AATGAACCTGTTTACTTGTACCTTATTGGCTATGCAGAAGCACTTGACTGTGTTGGTCATAACAAATTATGTACAACATTGTGAAGAATGAGGATTCCAGAACACTTAACTGTTCTCCTGGGGAACCTGTACATAGAACACGAGGCAGTGGTTCCAACAGAACAAGAGGATACTGGATGGTTTAAAATCAGGAAAAGTGTGTGTCAGTGTTGTATCGTTTTACCAGACTTACTCAACCTGTATGCTGAACAAATAACCCAGGAAGCTGGATTATATGAAGAAGAATGTGGCATCAGGATTGAAGGAAGACTCATTAACCACCTGAGATATGCAGGTGACACAAGCTTGCTCACTGAAAACGAAAAGGACTTGGACGTCTTACTGATGAAGATCGAAGACCAGAGCCTTCAGTATGGGTTGCACCTCAATGTAAAGAAGACAAAACGCTTCATAACCGGACCAATAAACACCATCATGATAAATGGATAGAAGTTTGAAGGCGTCAAGGATTCCATTTTACTTGGAGCTACAATCAGTGCTCATGGAAGCAGCAGTCAAGAAATGAAACAATGATAGAAGGGATCTGTACGTGCGTGTTTACCTTTCCTGCCAACCCAGCTAGGACTGTGGAGGACCAGACAGCAGACAGAAGGATGAGCACCTCCTAGATAATGCAGATCCCCTAAGGCAATGAATTTATGGGCCTGGGGGCTCAAGACCACAGTGTCAGGGACACCATGACAGTCCACAGAGACAGTGTTCCCCATCCTACTTGGGTGAGCAGCATCTGGGATCTTGAAAGCTCCTGAGCGCCGTCTTAGGAGTGGCTATTGGCCTCTCCACATGCAGAAGGAAGAAGAGTGATAAGAATTGAAGCGGCTTGGAATCAATGAGTCTCATAGACTAAAGGATCATGGGAACAGTGGTCTCCAAGACACTGAAACCAGAATTAGATGTTGCCTGGCTACCCCTACCCACTGCCCTGATAGGGATCACATTACAGGGTCCTGAATAGAGTGGGAGAAAATGTGGAACAAAACTCAAAAGTATTTGAGAATAATAATAAATAAATAAGACCAGGTTTACTGTTCAGAACAAGAGTTGAAGAACGTGAGATTACAGTCCTCGACCACCCTTCAGGTCTGGAAAGGAACTCACCCTCGTGGCTCAATTTTCAACCAAGCAGTAAACAGGTTCATAGCTGGGTGGGGGTAGGACAGCAACACTAACAAGTTGTTGTTAAGGAATGTCAATCATTCAAAGGGCAACGTTTTCCTGAGGACGAAGTTGAGAAGGGATGGAAAGGAAGGTGGCATGCAACTAGGAACCACAGGAGGAAATGGTTTTCCATTGGGGGATTGCAACCACTGAGATGAAACAAAGTGCATACTTCGTTGAAAGTAAACCTGAGGCTCTTGTCTATAAACCTTCACTCACTTCACAATAAAAAGTTTTTAAAAATGAAATGAAATGATCTATTGCATTGTGCAAATCTGCTGCACTTTAAAGACCTCTTTGAAGTGTTATGGAGCAAAGATGTCAGTTTGAGGACCAACGTGAGTCTGACCCAAATCACGATAGTTTCAGTCACCTCATACACACGTGAAAGCTGGACAATGAATGAGGAAGTGGTTCGAACAGAATCCATGTATTTGAATTACAGTGTTGGTGAAGAATATTGAAAGTACCATGGACTGTTAGAAGAACCAACATCTGTCTTGGAAGGACACAGCCCAGATGTTCTTTAGAAGCAAGAATGGCAAGGCTTCATATTGCTTCCTTGGGACATGCTATCAGGAGGGACCAGTCCCTGGAGAAGCACATCATGCTGGCTGAAGTGAAAAAAGATGTGGACTCCCCATCAAGAAGACTGAACACAGTGGTTGTACTGATGGGTTGAAGGAGAATGATAGTGAAGCTGGTGCGGGACAGGGCTGTGTGTTCTCTGTTGTGCTCCGAGCAGTTATGAGTCCTAGTCAATTGGACAGACAGCACTTACCAACAGCAACAATGTGACCCAGCAATTCCATGCCTAGGAGTCTGCAAGGAATCAATGAAGGATTGGGTCTACAAAAAAACTTTACAAAAATACTCATAGCAGCTTACTTCATACTTGTTACCAGTTCACCCTCCGAGGAATGGGTAAACAAATGGGGACTTGTACACAGTGGACTTGCGCTCAAGGGAAAGGTGTAAATCTCTGAGGGACACCTGTGTGGGAACTCACCGTGGGCCCCATGGGCTGACCCTAAGAGACGATGTCTTAAGTCAGAAAAGAGAATGCCTTTGGGGACGTGGAGGCTGGGCACAAACAGGAAGGAACTTTCTGGAAAGATACTGGAGTCCTGATGTCACGCTGTAGGATAAGCACTGGACTGCTGACCACAAGGTTAGCAGTTCAAACCCACCATCCACTCCTTGGAAACCCTAGACAGAGCCCCTATGAGTAGGAACCTACTCCACTGCCCTTAACAGCTACAAATATTCTACTTCTTGAGTGAGCTGCATTTTAAGTTTATTTTTCCCAGGGGTGGGGAACGTCCAGCCTGAGGGCTTTATGTTGTTGTTGTTGTTGTTGTTGTTGTTGTTGTTGTTGTTGTTGTTAAGCGCCATCAAGTCAGTTCCAACCCATAGCGACCCTGCATAGGGTTTCCGAGGAGCCACTGGTGAGCTTGAACTTCAGACTTTGCAGTTCAAATGGCTTTACAGTCTGGTAAATTATCCCACAGCACCACACCAGGACTCCCCAGGGGCCATATAAGCCCTGTGAAACCATTTAATCTGGCCCTGCCAAGGCAACTACAGTTACATCACATTGTTGTTAAGTGCCGTGGAGTCAGTTCCGACTCATAGTGACCCTGCACAGGGTTTCTGAGGCTGCAAATCTTTATGGGAGCAGAATGCCTCATCTTTCTGCCACTGAACAGCTGGTAGTTTCAAACTGCTGACCCTGAGGCTGGCAGCCCAACTCGTAACCACTACACTACCAGAGCTCCATGTTGTTGTTGTTGTTATGTGCCATCGAGTCGGTTCCGACCCATAGCGACCCTGTATAGGGTTTCCGAGGGTGTAAATCTTTACGGGAGTAGAAAGCCTCATCTTTCTCCCACAGAGCAGCTGGTAGTTTCGAACCGCTGACCTTAAGGTTCGCAGCCCGATTCGTAACCACTACGCTACCAGAGCTCCATAGCAACCCTGTTATATAGGGTTTCCAAGGAGCAGCTGGTGAATTTAAACTACTGAACTTGTCATTCAAACTGACCTTATAGTCCAGTGCTTGACGGGTGAGTTAATTAAATAGTTGGTCAAAAATTAGCAAGCTAATTTTAAGTTGATAATTCTGTATGGCCTGTGAATGATGTTATACACTTTGGAAGCAAAAGGTTCCCCACCTCTGCTATTCACTTCAGTTTTACGTTGTAACTAAAGAAGGAGAGCTGTGGATAGTTAATGAGCTGGTGACCAGGTGCATGAACAACAGATGCGCAGAGACGCTGAGTCAGGTCCCCACGAGGGGAGGTCTGAATTAGGGCTGTGCACATGAATTCATTGCTTACAGGATCTCCAGATGCTACCTGCCTGTTCTTCAGACCTCTGCGTTTCCAGAACATTCTCCCTGTCCTCTGAGAGCTAGAACAGACCAGGCCTCACACCAGCTGGAGTGGGACCACCCCCTGGTCTTTCAGGGTGAGGCTCCAAGCAGGAGCTTCAGGGTGGGGGTGCAGCAGGGCCCCTCAAGCTGGCTTTCCTACTGGGGTCACAAGTCAGGTCCTCTCTCGTCCACCCTCCGGGACTCTTCTGGGCCCTAACTTTGTGCTGGGACGAGTGAAGACAAGTCAGTTCTTGTGTGTGCTGATAGCTCCTAGATTCAGCCCTCCCTCCTCCCCTTCCCAAGGAAGGAGGGTGGGGGTGCACTTCCGGGAGAGAGGCGGAAGCAGCCATAAGATGGAGTGAAGCCTGAGTGCCTGCTAGAACCTGCCAGAACCTTCCAGAACCTGTTCTGGTGACAAGACATCACCTCCTCGAGCTACTGGTCCACATTAAATGTGCCCTGACACGTCCAAGGGTAAATATCCATGGTGTGCCTGACACACCATGGCCCTCAGGTGAAGCGTTTCCCATGTGGAGCTGGGGTCACTAACACCCCCTTGAGGAGATTCAAACTTTCTCTGATGTCAGGTGGTTTCTGGGAGCTGACTACAGGGAAGGAGGGAGGAAGGAGGGGTGGGGGGAGTGGGGTTTGTAAATAGTGGGCACTGCTGCCAGCCAGAGGAGACTGCCAGGCAGGTACTGGGGGAAGGGGGATGGGAGGAGATCTGTGTCCCCTCTCAGGGGTCCCTGGACAGTGGGACCACTCCATGGCTGCTGCCCTGGCTCTCCTGAGGTCATGGGTTTGTGTGCAGCCCTGACAGTCAGAGCCTCTGAGAGCAGGACCCCAGTGGGTGTTGGGGGGATGAGCTTGGTGTCCTTGCAGCCAGCTGGGCCCTACTTTAGGCACAGGGAGAACAAACCACCTTTCAAGAAGGCTGGCCAGCTGTTTGTCCTCAGGAAGAGGCCTCCAAAGGGCTGGTTATTACGTCTGACAGCCAGCGTCCGCTGCTCCATGTCCATGCCAGCTGGGTCTGGACCGGATCACCTGTGCTCAGCATGGACCCTAGAAATGTGTTCTGTCTGGGCTGGTGTCTGGAAGGGCTGGAGGGGCTGGTGGAGACCTGGCCCAGGGGGACAAAGAACAGGTGCGGGTCTGGGAGCCGGAGCACCACCAGGCAGCTTGTGAGTCATGAGCTCCAGGGATTCGCTTTGAAGAGCGGGTGGCCCATCTCCAACCCAGGAGGACGCCAGGCCTGGGAGGCGGGACCTTGGTGGGGCCCCAGGTGAGGGGCCACCTGTGGGTTCCCAGGTGTCCCTGCCCGCAATGCTCCCACGCCTGCTGTGACCTCAGGACTGTTGGGAGCTGCTAGGCTGGCCTCGCAGCCCTAGGTCCCATTCCTTGCAACCCAATGGCCGCTCTGAACGTGTCGTTGGTCTTCTTCTCTGGCACTTTCGCCCTCTGTGAGGCAGCCAGGAGGGCATGCAGGGCCCTACTTCCGGCCAACGCCTACAGCAGCTTTGCCCGGGAGGCCGTGGGTGCGGTCCAGCTGGCGGCCTGCTGCCTGGAGCTGCGTGTGCTGGTAGAGCTGGGGCCATGGGCTGCGGGCCTGGGCGCAGACCTGCTCTTGACGCTGCTTTTCCTGCTCTTCCTGGGCCATGGTGCATCCCTGGATGGGGCCTCAGCCAACCCCGCTGTGGCTCTACAGGAGCTCCTACTGGCCGAGGTGTCTCTGCCCATCACCCTGCTGAAGATGGCGGCCCAGGCACTGGGCATGGCCACTGCCTGCGTCCTGGCTCGGCTCTGCTGGTCCTGGGAACTCAGTCCGCTGCACGTCTTCCAGAACCTTCTGGCCATGGACTGCAGCTCGACCCTGCACACGTCTGTGGCCCACGGTACCCTGGTGGAGGGCGTCTGTGCCTTCCTCTTCCACCTGACCCTGCTGCGGTTCCGGCACAGCTCTCCCGTCCACAGGGTGCCGGCCGTGGCTGTGCTGGTCACCGTCCTGGCCTACACAGGTGAGCTCTGCACACCCTGTGGACACCTGGGGAGGGCACTGCTGGCCACAGGACTCCTGGTGATGGACAGGTCAGCCCCTACGTAGACCATCCTTTCTGACTCTTCTGTCCATTCCAGAAGACCTCTCACCTGGCCAGGTGGGACCACCAGGGTTTGTGAGCCCCACCTCTTCCAGCTCCCAGATGGGGAGGGTCTCCAGGAAGGGGGCACATGGGGCCTTCACTGGACAGGTAGTGCCCTGGGGACAGAGCCGTCTAGGAGGATGTGGAGTAAGTGAGCATTCCATGAACCCTGACACTGGGGGGTGGGTGGGTGGCAGTGTTTATGCATGTCCAGGTACGGGGGGGCAGTGTTCACATATGTCCAGGTACTGGGGTGAAGGATTAGTGTGTTTCTGGGTACTGGGGTACAATGTTCAAGTGTGACCAGGTACTGGCGTGCAACATTCATGTTTGTCCAGGTACTAGGGTGTAGTGTTCACGTGTGGCCAGGTACCGGGAGACAGCGTTTCCATGTGACTGGGTATTAGGGGACAGTGTTCACATGTACCTGGGCATGGGGTAAAGCACTCACATGGGCCCTGAAACTGGGATATAATGTTCATGTGTACCCATGTAAGGAGGTGCATTACTGAAGAATGTCCGGGTACTGGGGTACAGCATGGAGAGAACTGAAGAAGCCAGTGTCTTCCAGAAGCTTCCATTCTGGCGTGGGCCAAGTGCTGGCCCATAAGGAGAGAAAACCAGTATATACCCTCCCTGGGAAGCAGCCATGGTGGTGACCATCATGCCAGCAGGACCACAAAGGCCCCAGGAGTGACTCAGAAGGCCCATGCAGATGGGGAGGCCACAGTGTGCAGGGCAGGGCCATGTCCCGTCTGCGGGGCGGAGGGCGGGGGATGAGTCCGATCTTGGGTGAGAGACCAGGAGAGGCATCTGGCATTCTGGGTGAGCAGCGGCCCCCCACTGCTCCCTAGACCTGTGACTTTGGTCCTGTCTCACTTGTTCCCCCATTGAGGTGGCAATGGAGGGGTGGCCTGGCCCTGAGCTCACACAGGTGGATTTCTGGTTTCACTCCTGGTGTTGTGTTGAGCCTGTTCTGCTCTCCCCCCACCAACAGCTGGGCCCTTCACGTCCGCCTTCTTCAATCCCACACTGGCCTCTGCGGTCACCTTCAGCTGCTCAGGGCACACCCTGCTGGAGTATACTCAGGTGTACTGGCTGGGCCCTCTGACAGGTAAGGAGCAAGGATTGAGGGCTGGGGCTCCCTCCTCAGAGCTCCGCCGATGTCCCCACCTGGGGGGCCAGGAAGAAAGGACCAGCAAGACCTCACTCGGCCTCAGCCCCCTCCCCGCAGGCCAGCTCTTTGCCATGACCACAGCACATCACCCGGGGACCTTCCTGAACCAGAGTGTGGGGCTGGGGACCACCCCCCATGCCATACCCCCCACATGCTGGGTCCTCAGAGACTCCAGCAAACCTGCAGGACAGGAAGTCCACCCCCTGTCCCCAGGGCCAGGCTGTCATTGGTACTGGTCTCCTGGAGTTCTGGGCACAACTTGGGGGAGATGAGCCAGCAGCCCACACACAACCCCCACCCTTAGATAGCACTCCAGCCTCCAGGTGTCCTAGGAGAGGACCACCCCAGCTCTGGGAGGAGAGGAACATCACTGCAGGGGCCCAGACCCTATGCCCACAGTGAGTGTGGAAGTGAAAAGGTGCCCTCTGGTGTGTGCCCCCACCATGGTGTGTCCTCTGCACTGGCCATGCCCAGCTCTGTGCCCTTAATACGCAGGAAGGTTGTGTGGATGGTGATGGGCACTAGGTTGGGGCTGTGGTCTTGGCTCATGGGCCCATCTCTTGCAGGGATGGTCCTGGCTATTCTGCTTCACCAGGGCAACCTTCCCCGGCTTTTCCAGAGGAACCTTCTCTACAGACAGAAGAGCAAGTATCGGACCCCCAAAGGGAAGCCAGTCCCAGGGCCTGGGCACTCCCAGAGCCCTACAAAAAAGCAGAGCTGATCCACTGCCCCATGAGCACCATGCGGGCAGGACCTGTAGCCATGGGACCCACAGAAAAAGGGGGGGCTGTCGATCTCTCCAGTCACCATTTATCAATAAACCATTTATCAATAAACCATTCCCTAGACCTGCCTGTCTTCCTGAGACTGACAGAAACTTCTGAAAGTGTAGGCAGGGAGGGCAGTCCACAAGGAAGGAGAATAAGCATGAGACATCAAGCCTGGGGGCAAAGGTGAAAGGAGAAAGGTGAGCCTCCCCCCCCCCCATCCCTGGCATGGGGAGCACAGTAGCTGCCTTCATCCCAGCCTCAGTGGATCCAGGTCAGCACAGGAATATCATGAGTGGTTACTAGCAATGAGGCGGCATGGGCCAGAGCGGTGTGGAGGATACTATCTTGGCCTGAGCATCCAGGAGGACTTCTTGGAGGAGATGGCATCTGAGAGGTGTATGGGCATGAACTCTGCAAAGAAGGATGTAGGACTGAACATGGGAGAGTCTGAGGCACAGGTCCATGCAGGCTGATGGAGGATGGGCCGGGCGAGGTGAGGGAGGAGTCCAGGAAAGAGATAACCAGCTCCGCTTACCCAGGACTACACGGGTACCCATGCCAATGTCCGGTGGTCAGAGAGGGGCAATCTCCCCTTATCTTACCAGAGAAGTAAACCCAGTGAAGTTGATGCAAGCACATATAGAGAGAAGTTTATATCAAGGACATGGTTCACTCTATTGTAGAGGTGGGCAGGTCCCAAGTGTGTGGGTCAGATGAACCAAGATCATAGGCCAGTAGCAGGCAAGCAGGCAGGCTGGCTGGGCAGGAAAGAAGGCAGGCTGCTGATGACTCCTTGGATCAGCAGATCAGAGAGCAGGCCACTGGCTCAAGTTCAAAGAACTGGGGGTTGGATGATGAGCCAGATGCAGGATCCAGACCCAGAAGAAAACAAGCAAGATTTGCCCAAGTGTCCAAAATACTGGAAGCAGGCCAAAGTCCCAAGAAGACTCCCTTTCAATTGTTTGACAGCCCATAGCTGATCCTATCATAGAAATAATTGCATTATATTAGTTTTATCATAGATGGGTGGAGTACTGCCTGGTGTGGCATTGCGTGCTAATGCACTGGACTGCAAGGTTGGTTTGAACTACATGGTCGGCGTTCACATCACCAGTCGCTCCTGGGAAACCCTATACAGGGTCGCTATGAGTTGGAACTGATTCAACAGCACCCTAACAACAAAAACATCATAGGTGGTTACTATGTAAGAACTGCCAAAGCACTGAGAATCCTGGCCAGTCAAGTTGACACAGAACCTGCCACGCTCTCCTTACACTGCCCAGCCTCTTGGTGAGCAGAGGAGCAGCCACCCTACTCCCCCACATGCAGTAGCTTGTCCAGCACCCCCCCACACACACACACTGGGTACTCTCCCACCTGATGATGCTCCACCCAGCCCATCTCCCACAACACCAAAACCCTCTTTCCTGGTGCTCCACTCCCCACCTCAGAGCTCGGGCACCACATTTGCAGGACATGTGCTTGTGGGTCCCCTGCTGATGGTGGTGATGTCTGCAGTTGGTAGCACGTAGTCTGAGGAGCAGGCCACACCTCATAACCTCTGCTCAGTAGCACTCACTCCCAGTGTCTCTGCAGGTGGCCATGTGCTCCCAGGGAGCGGGCTCTGTGCTCCCCACAGCCTGCCGTGTGTGCTCCCGGGGAGCGGGCTCTGTGCTCCCCACAGCCTGCCGTGTGTGC